GTAACACTCTTCCTCATGAGTGGAATATAGGGAGTGGAAACCTCAGTAAGGTATGCCTTAAATTTATCCCAGGCTAACTGAAAAGAGTCAGCCATCGAGATCTCACAGTTCAGAACTGAAGCCTTAGCTCGCATTGCACTAAAGTCCGCCCGCCAAAACTTCGGAAATAATTCAACAGCGGTCTGTTGGTGCCTTGAAAGAGCACATCGAAAGCAGATGTGTGCGTGATCACTGGACCCTAGAGGTTCACCGTATGAAACGACGGTCACGAACTCGAGGTACTTAGCGAAAATCAGATCTAAAGTAGATGGCATTTGGTTGTCCACATACCTAGTGGGGAAGTCCAAGAACTGGTGCAAAAGCACTTGGAGAGTCAGCTCAAGGAAGTGTGCACCGAATGTTCCTAATGCCGAATTGCAAGAAAGATCGGCCTGTAATGGAGTGAAAACTAGTCTTACACTACCGTACCAGAAGGAAAGGATTAGTGTCAGATAAAAGTATCAACACGCTGACCTTCAGTAGTGACGGTTGGACTAACTCCACTTATATTGCACATTCCCTGATACGATATTCCAATGTTGGTTCCGCGAAGCTCAGACTTTCCAAACACACCAACTTAGCAATCGCAACACGCCAGTGCAGGAAAGCAGAACGCGCCGTTCGAGGTCGAGGATAATGTATATGAAAAAACGGTGAATTAAAACAACTGTACAAGACGCATAGGAAAAAGGAAATGAGAAAAGCGTAAAAAATGAAAAAGCTATGAACACGACAGGCCCAACAGACTTCCGGGAGGTTGAAATGGTCTAGAACTAAACACTTATTTGCGAATTGAGTGCCAATAAAGTCAAATATCCTCCTGGAAGAACTTCCAGGAATTCTGTATATCACTACAACTGTAAACTGGGTAGAGTATAGCGCGACGATCGTGCGCTATATATTCGGTACGAAACTAGACGGCCAACCAAAAGCAATGGGTAGGACACACAAAAGTAAGATATGGAAAAAGATTTTTGGACGGGAAAAAAATAGGGTACCAAAAGAGAGCTAGCTAGGGAGAACGTAGTTAAGCGTCTAGTGCGTTGATGGAGCCTCGTTCGCAGCCGAGTCGCGCGAGCCGAAGGCGGATATCGTGTTCGTGTTTCAGACAAACGGGAACAACATTCCAACCGGCAAACCGCCTAATTTCGGATTCAGATGGACTGGAACGATAGGTAAGTCCCTTGAGTGTTCCTTCTTGAGAAAATCGTTGAGCCAAAAATTGAAAAGGTGCTAGATCTTGATAGATCTAAAACGAAACACCCGAAACACACCCTGATCAACCAATTACTGCCCACATTCCCTGCACCAGCAGTCCCCGCTGTGTAGGTTACGTGAAGAAAGAAATAGAAAGTAACTGGAAGTTAAAGGGGAGTGAAAGTCATTTAAATGAAGAACACCAGAGAGTGAAGAGAATGATAGAATAAGAACTAAAAGTTTGAAGATGGATATGGTCAGAAGGGAAAGGTTTTGTGTTGCCACCCAAGAGTGTCTAACTGACGCTCGAAACCCTTAACCGTAGGTTCACTGACTACACTTTCTGGAAGCGAGTTCCAGCGCTCGATAACTCTACGCGATAACCGAGTTTCCGCCCTGATCCGGTCAGAACGAGGGCTTGTGTAGCTTCATGGGATGACCGCGAAGACAAGGCAACCTAGCCGGGCTAAATAGCCAGCTCAAGTCCGGTCCAACCTTCCCTGTTAAAATGCGGTAAGTAAGGATTAGGTCTCCTCGAAGCCGTCGGTAGTGCATTGAATACATACCCAAGCTAAGTAGACGCTCGGGGTACGCTTGCCCCTGTAACCCCTCGACCAATTTGGTACCTACTCTCAAAACCCTCTCGAGCTCCATTTTGTCACGAACAGGGCAGGGCGGGCAATCCTGGACGCAGTATTCCAGATGGGGCCGGACGAAAGCTGAGAACAGCTTCACAAATATGTCGGCAGTTAAGACCCCGAAAGAACGGCGTATTAACCACAGCATTCCGAAACCCCTACTTGCGGCCTTCTTCCAGTTGTCAGCAGAATGCAAAGACGAGGAATGAACGACACCTAGGTCTACCTGGTTGGAGACAAGGGGAGTTCGACCCCACCGAGTACGTAGCTCGAAGGCGGGAAAGTTGCTCCTATACGAAGGATGGAACACTTAGCCTGATTTATGGGCAGTAGCCACAAAGTAGACCAGTCCCAGAGTCTGTCCAGTGCATGCTGTATGGCCTCAGAACCCCCAGGAACATTTACGACATTCCATAGCTTAAGGTCCTCAGCAAACAATAGGGATGATACCCCAAGCTCTCCAGTGAGATCGTTTACGTAGATGGAGAACAGCATCGGTCCAAGGACCGAGCCCTGTGGGACACCGCTAAGGACCGCTTGCCTAAAGGATAAGCTGCGACCCACACGTACACACTGCTCTCTTCCCTGCAAGAACGCAGATACCCAGTGAAGGGCGCGGCCAGATACGCCGTAGGGGCTTATCTTTTGTGATAGCCTCAAGTGGGGTACCTTATCAAATGCTTTCGAGAAGTCTACGAGAAGCATATCCACTACGTGGTCATTGTTCATTGCCTCGGCCCAAGATTCACGAGCAACCAACAAATTCGTCAAACACGATAACCCCTTCCGGAATCCATGTTGTGCACTACTGAGTAGATTAAATCTATTCAGGTGACATTCCAACGAATCTCTCACCAGCTTTTCAAGCAGTTTGACAACGCTAGTCAGACTGACTGGCCTATAATTGGCTGACAGACTCCTGTCGCCATTTTTGAAGATAGGACAGATGACAGCCTCCTTTCATTCAGAAAGTAATGTATAGCTGTCAAGTGACTTCTGAAACACCATCGTCAGCGGTCCACCTAGTTCCCCCGCCAACTCATGCAGAAGCTTCGGATGAATTGAATCAGGTCCGGCTGCTTTGGAAGGCTTCAGTTCTTGCAGCAGTTAAAGGATTCGCGTTTCCACCACAGTAAACTCAATTAAATAAGAACCCACAGGTACTCTGAGGACAAAAGACCATCTGATGAGCAATTGCTTTCAATGATTCATCATCAGACCATTACAATCGTATAGAGGCTAGAATGAGAAATCGGCCCAGTTAGTTCAAAATGACTTGATCGCGTGAAGGTCTAGGTTAGAGCGGAGAAAACGAATTAGGTCTCAGATGGCTAGCTGTTTGCTACCGCGTCTGACCGAAGGCAGTCGACCTGGGCGTCTTCCATTTTTGCTGGCCAGGGAAGCTGGAGAGCCTAGCCCAGCTTCCCTGGCCAGCGAAGATGGAAGACGCCCAGGTCGACTGCCTTCGGTCAGACGCGGTAGCAAACAGCTAGCCCTCTGAGACCTAATTCGTTTTCTCCACTCTAACATAGACCCTCACGTGATCAAGTCATTTTGAACTAACTGGGTCCATTTCTCATTCTAGCCTCTATATGACTAATGGTCTGATGATGAATCATTGAAAGCAATTGCTCACCAGAAGGTCTGTTGTTCTAGAGACTTAAATGGGAATTTTCTAGTTACTCTGAGGACAAGTTCAATGCTAGTCAACGCGGCCTCATGTACAAAAGGCCCTGCATACTGCTCCCTAAGTACATGAGCCTTATCTGAGTCCGCATACGCACGAGTTCCATCGGCCCACATCAAAGTTGGGATTACCGAAATTGAATTACAGCCTCTATTAACATAAGCGAAAAACTTTCGGATTTTCCGAAGCTCCATCAGCCAATTCCTTTTGTACACCAGCCGAGCTTTCGTTACGTGTTGTTTACACCTATTTCTAGCCTCGCGGTATCTATCATAGGTGCTAGTTGATGAAGCCGCACGGTAGGTCCTCCAGCACCTAGAATGCTTCATAAGCAGATACTTGCTAGTGGTATCTATCCACGGCGGCCGCGCTCGTAAGTGGGATGTAGGGAGTAGACACTTCCGTGAGATAAGATTTAAATTTATCCCAGGCCGCCTGAACCGTATCAACTACCGAGATTTCGCAACGCATCCCAGCATCCTTGATACGCATTGCCTGATAGTTAGCACGCCAAATGTTTGGAAATGGCTTAGCAATGCTCTGGTGACGCCTGGTCAGGGTACACCTGGACGATAAACAAACATGATCACTAGCACCTAAGGGAGAGCTGTAAGTGATGTCACCTACGAAGTATAATGACTTGGCAAACACTAGATCCAAAATAGACGGGAGTTGGGCGTCCATGTACCTAGTGGGGAGGTCCACGAACTGATGCAACGGTACTTGTGGCGTAAGTTCTAGTAGATCTGCCCCGAAAGTACCTTCTGTCGAGTTGCAAGAAAGATCTGCCCAGCAAACTTCTGGTAGATTGAAATCCCCCAGTATCAAACACCTGTTTGCGGATTTGAAGAGAATAAAGTCAAGCACCTCTTCTGACGCACTCCCAGGGCTTCTATACACATAAGAAAGCTATAATTTTAATATATTTTAGAATAGTTTACACAGTCATACGGGGGAATCTCCAGGTCACGACAAGAGGACATGCATAAAACAGCCGATAGGGCTTCAACTGTTGATCCGACGACTGAAATGGGCAGGTCCTCAACACATTTAGGTTACAGCTCACATACAGTAAAACGCAGTGACAGCCACATGATTCCAGCATTCTCTGCAAGAGCTAGCGTATGTTATTCAACAGCATATTACAGCGCTTAGCAAGTTAGTATGATGAAGACAAACCCATGGCGGGAACATAAGTAGTCACAATCATGGTGCGCGATTGCTAAATACCGTGTCCCAGCTGCTATTTTATAATAACGCGCAATTTATCAGCTGATTAAAAGAGAAGGTTCTGTAATCTCTCAAGAAAATCAGTGTCATTTAATTTGAATTCAACATGTTTTTTATAATACAATATTATTCACTGTCTTTTGTAATCCTTTTGACAAATCTTTTTTCAGCAATGTAATTGGTGCGTTGGATTCAACACACTACTGCGCCTTGGCTTGGATTGATTGCAAGCGCTACCCTAGCCACCCTTGCGCTTGCGACAGGCCGTGCTTCGTTCCTCTCGGCACCACAAGCCTGGCTTACTGTAGTAACCGTAGCACGCGCTAGCCTTGCCTTAGCTGTTGCGTATCCGATCGAAGATACTTGCGAATCTCTACGCATTCACCGCTCCGAGATAAAACACTATGAACAGAACAAAGGATAAGAACAAGCCGAAGGGGGCTATGTCTGCTTACGCCTGTTTCGTTCAGGTTATCCGTGAAGAACACAAGAAGAAACATCCTGGTGAACAGATCGTTTTCAGCGATTTCTCCAAAAAGTGTGCCGAACGTTGGAAGGTTGGTTCGTTGTTTTTTTGATGACACAGTTCTGCTTCAGCTCATGACGCCAAAGGAAAAAAAGCGTTTCGAAGACTTGGCTGCTCTTGACAAGGAAAGATACAACCGCGAGATGAGCGAATACGTTCCACCCGAGGGAATGAAAAAAGGAAAAAAGCGCAAAGTCCCCAGAGATCCCGCTGTTCCCAGGCGAGCTTGGTCGGCGTTTTTCTTCTTCTGTGACGAGCACCGTGCCAAGGTAAAGGAAAACAATCCAGAATACAAGGTAGCAGATGTTGCAAAGGAGCTGGGGAGACAGTGGGAATCTTGCCATGATAAGGCGAAGTACGAAATGCTTGCACAACAAGATAAACAGCGGTACGAGGAAGTGAGTTTACTTCATGGGGTTAATTATCTTATCTTCCCTCTGTATTTAGGCACTTATTTCATTTCTCTTCTCTTAATTTTGATCATGCCTCGATGAATTCGTGAATAAACTATTCATTTATTTATTATTTAGGACATGGCAAAGTATCGCGCTGGTGTTTATGTTCCCGTTCAAAAGAAACCCGCTGGATCGTTGTCCATTCCGGCAACCGTTGATCTGACGGAAACATCTGGTCTCGACTCTAACTCTGTTCTCTGTGCCGGAGGCGACGAAAATGGAGCCGAGTTGGAGGACGAAGATGATGGTGAACCCGACGAAGGGGAGGACGAATAATATCTTTGTTGTGCACTGTGCCGTGTGGATCCAGTGTCAGTTGTACAGTTCACACGCATTTAACTGGTTTCCCTAGCGGCCCTGTATACATTGTTATCCTCGTTATTTTTGTATTATGTTTCCTGTACTTCTGTTTGCGAATCTCGTTTTTATCCGCCGGACGCTGGCCCTGTTCATTTTTCTGTGAGATTGTGTCTCCCTATCTCTACTGTCACTCCCTTTGAGTGATTCCCCCCATTTATCGAAATGTCGCCGGTTTTATCCCGCGCTATTCACCCGCACATCTTTCTCAAGTCGATGTTCTGTTTTGACCGATAAATAGATCGTTGATCGAAATTCCACCCTTCCCGTTTACTCTGTTCGGGCATCCCGCCGCACGTTCAGTTCGCTTGTTACTCGTACACTTCCCTTGGTGCACTCCGCAGTGTATCTTCCTCACGCACGAGTAGTTTGTGCTGCTTCAAACAGCAGCATGGTTCGGTTGAATTTGCCTGGGTGGAGGCACCGTGCGGCTGATTCTTTGCGCCTATTCCGACATGCCCATAGTACTACCTAAGATGTTAGCTTCGGTTGTTCCTCACGCTCCGTATTCCAGGATCTAGCTAAGAGCTGTCCGGTGTTCCTTTACGCAGTAGCTGACGACTCAGTGCTGACATGCAGCAGTTCGGTTAGGCAACTTCCACGCCGTGAATTGCAAGATTCAACTCTTATTGTCACAGTGAAGGTTTGTAGAGCTAAGTACATTTGCTGCGCGAAAATTAAGAGCTCTCTGTATTATGGTAAAACAACCCGTACTATGTTGTAAAAGTGTTTGTTATTCGGTGGGGCTGTCATCCTCTATATACTACAATATACATATAGCTTGGGCAATACAGGTTCGTTTATCGGAGCAACATTGCTGCTTTGCAGTAAATGCCGATGGCATCGTCAATCCGGAAATTTCCATGTATTACAAAAATCAAACTGAGGGGTAGCTACCGAGTAGAGAATTCCTTATTCAATATGCTCCCTTTACTCGGATTTTCGTTAAACTACATACAAATCCACTAAAATCTTGGGGATCTCGGTAATTACTGCACTGAATTACTACTTGTGTACTAAAAATATTTGTATGTCCTTGCACAACAAAGAATTTAGGACAAAGTTTTCCTTGCCGGTCTTGAAATTAGCCTGCAGCAGTCTGGAGATTCCCCCGGATTGCCCAACACTGTTGTGTAAAATACTAAATAAAGTACCTTCTTATTATACACATAGAGTTTGTTTGAAGATTGCTGCATTTGTTTGTTTGACTCAACACACACGGCGCCACGGTTGCATTCAACAAGCCGCTCCATCGCGCGGTCCCTCAGATCCTTTCCGAGCTCGTTCGCATCGTCCGGTGTCGTTTTTTGGCCAAATGCACGGGAACAGTGTACCACAATACATTTTCGTCCCGTCACCTTCGTGCCTTCTCTTTACTCACTGGGAACGGTACTTGCCAGCAGACTATCGCGAATACGTCAAGTCCGTTAGCGTGAGTCGGCCACTACATTAGTGACCCCGACCTGAATCATCCTCCTGATCCGTTTCATTTACATTACTACATTGGTGACACCGATCCGAATCAATCCTCACTACATTGGAGATGCCAACTGGAATTATATTCGCCTTTCTTTGTTTAGTCCGTTTCAATTTTCCTGGTTTATGCGTGACAATTTTTCATCCACTTTCATTAAGTTATTATTGTCTTCTGAACCATGGAATCCGTCTCTAAGTATAGTGAGGACGAGCAGACTCTTCATTAGTCACTGGTAGTTCCTCCCTTTATGGAGATAGACACCGGCTTATGGTTTACGATTTTAGAAGCAGAATTTGCCAACAAACGTGTCACACGTGACTTAGATAAGTTCAACTACCTTTCTCTCGTCTGCCCATAGATGACACCGTCCAACTCGGCGATTTGATTGTGACAGCTGATTCGACTAATGGTTATAACTCTCTGAAAGATGCCGTAATAAAACGATGCACAGCCTCAGACAGTTTTCGTCTGCATCAAGTCTTTTTCGGTTTGTAGTTAGGAAGCAAGACCGTTGACACATACTGGAGATGCGCCGTCTCCCAAGAGGTTTAAGTATAGACAAATCTTTGATTCAGGAACTATGGCTGCAACGTTTACCTGAGCACATGCAGACTGTTTTATGCCTTGCAAAATCTAAACCTTTGTCAGAAATCGTTGAAATTGCAGACAGCATACTGGAGAGTTACACGGAACCACTTTGCGCCTCGTCTAGCGTCGCGTGGTCAGCTGACGCGCCTCACCGGGTACAGGCCGTCACTCCATTAAACGACAACGTAATCAACTTGCCTTCAACAAGAAGTCCAGCGTTTGAGCCTAAACTAGCAGCAGGATACACACCGTTCGCGTAGTCGCGCTCGCAGCACCACACGACGTTCTTGCTGCCGTTACCATGCGTGTTTCGGTAACGATGCTAGAAATTATGTTAAAGCTTACGCTTTTATATCGACCAAGAAGAAACAGGCTGAGCAAAACTTTGATAGACGTAGACAGATTCACAGTCTGATAAAGCCCAAAAGCAACGATCAACCGATACCCCCCAACGGTGGTTTAGAACAAGCTGCTCGAGAAATGCTGGCGACTGACCTCGTAACTCAAAATACCGCAAGTCGTCTATTCAAGATAGCCGATAGAATCTCAGGGATCATGTTCCCATTACTAATGAGTAGGAGGATTTAATTGTAGTTTTCGTCCCAGTTACTCACAAGCTACATGGCATGTTCCTAGTCGAAACTGGGGCGGAAGTCCGCGTAATCCCACCAGACCCAAACGAATCGACTAAGCAGCGAAGAACAAACCTACGCGCCGCTAACGGAACGCCCATAGTAATGTTTGGCCAGCGTTCCGTCACCATCGATCTTGGCGTTCTACGTAAATTCCGTTGAATTTTTACAGTAGCTGCTGTACCGTTTGCCATCCTCGGAATTGATTTCTCGTATCATTTCGATCTTATGGTGGATGTCCGTCAGCGGAAACTGATAGACAAGCAAACCCGTTTTTCCATCTGCGGAGTTGAGGCGTATTCCGAAAGTGTCACTCGCATTTATCCCCAGCCACATGCAGACAAAGACTCTAGAAATGTTCGCGCAGTTCCCACAGCTGGTTCGCCCTTCTAACGCCCTTCTTCCTGTAGGAACTACCGTAACGCACCACATACGAACCATGGCCCACCAGTCTCCGTCCAACCACGACGTCTTACCTTTGATAAGTTGGAGGTGACCAGAGTGGAATTCGAGCATATGCTCGAACTTCCGCCCATCCGAAAGTCAGTGAGCTTCACAACTTCACATGGTGCCATAGAAAACTGGCCACTGGCAACAGTGTGGCGATTATCGGTCACTGAACAAGTGTACCCACTCGAACAAGTACCCTGTTCCGCACATTCATGATATTACTAGCAACTTAAGCGGTAAGTCCGTGATTAATAAAATCGACCTAATGAGAGCCGTTTGGCCTGAGAAATGACGCACAAACCTTCCAAAGCTTCATACATGACGTTAAAGGCGGCTTAGATTTCGTCAATACCTATTTGAATGACACCTTGGTAGCATGCGTCTCCAAATCCGAACATCTGGAGCACCTACAACGGCTATTTAAACTCTTGCGCGACTGCCGAATTACCGTTAACCTCGCTAAATGCAAGATAGGTAAACCGTCGGTTAATTTTTTTGGGTCGTCGGATCTATGCATCCGGTATCGATGCCCTTCACGGAAAAGTCAACACAAGCAAAGGTTTTCCCGAACCGTCTTCATTCGAGCAACAAACGCTTTCTCAGCGTCGTAAACTACTACCGCCGTTTCATCCCCAATTACGCAAAGCTAATATAGCCTCTGACTGACTTGCTTCGTGGCAGTCAGCGTGTTTCGTTTTCACGGATGCTGCTCGATCATCTTACGTAGAACTTAAAAAGCCGTTGCAAACATTGCTTTTTTGACTCATCCACAACTAGATGCTCCCCTTACTCTGGTAACAGACTCCTCCAGCAAAGCGTGACCATCAGTCTTTCGGTAGTTTCTCAACTGGTCTTGGCAACCATTAGGCTTCTTTTCGAAACGGTTACAACCAGCCGAAACCCCTTACAGCACGTTTGGGAGAGAACATGTCGCAATTTATTTGGCCATTCGCTACTGTAGATCTTCACTCGAAGGTAACGACTTCGTAATCTTCATCGATCATAAAGCTTTAGTCTATGCCATAAGTTTATCCTCCTACAAATACTCTGCTAGAGAGCTCCACCACCTAAATTGTCTCAGAGTTCACCTCAGATATAGGGCATGTCTCAGACGTGCAAAACTTTCTCGCAGACGCCTTACCTACGCGAATTTAATTACGGTCACGGCATTGATCCAGCAACAGTGGACGCTGCACAACAGACCGATCCAGGGGTTGATCAACTTCGAACGTCCCGTTACCTCTGCTGCCGAAGGAACGATTCTTTGCGATGTCTTGCAAAAGTACCCTCGTCCTATAGTTTAACATGATTTTTGGCCGTACTGTGTTCGACACACTGTAATTTATCACTCCCAGGCATTCACGTCTCGAGGAAGCTCGTCAAGCAGTGCTTCGCGTAGCGCAAACCCAATCGAAACGTTTGCCAGTGGGCCTACATTTGTCCTCGCTGTCAACAGTCGAAAATACAACGCCATGTAGTTGCAGCTATTGTAGGGAGACGGAAGCCAGTGACTAATCGTGAATTAGAACAACAACAAAAACGGGATTGTAGTGAATTAACAACGGGCGCAATGAATGAGACGAGACAAGGCTCTGCGAGCGTTGCCGATCGAGCCGACAGCGGATCACGGGCGACATCTGGTAACGAGCTTGGGCCCAGAATAATACAGGAGGTATTTGTCGAGAACGCAATGAATCAGACAAATACGCCGCTACCGAAGCCCACAGGAATGAACGCGGGTCGGGTGATGCAGCCACGGGAGAGCAAATCGCGAGCTATCGAACGACTCATAGCCGGCTAGAATCAGATGTAGCGAAGCGGTGATACGGACTAGAAAGATGGAGGGGTTGTCTCGAAGCCCAACCTCGTAGGCACCTGGAATGGCCCGTCACACAAATCCTCATCCGCGTTACGTCGTGGAAAGGAAACACGGTACATCATCATTATATCATTGTACACATCAGCTAGAGGTGGGAAAACACCTCTGCTATTGTGTTTGTGAGTTTCCACTTGCACGTTCTTGTGGCAATACACGCTCCGCCCCCCCCCCCTACCCACCGCATGGTTCTGGCTACACTGGTGTCGTGAACAATCAGGATGAATT